AAACACAACAACAAAAACAGCACAAGCTCAATTGCATATGAAAACATCTGTAGAAATAATGAACTTGCTCCCTGGACACAACCTACCTCATCTCTTTTTCCAGCAATGACTTATTTACACAGTACAACAGGAATTTTGGAAATGTGGAAAAGTCACCATAAGTGAGGATGAGGGCCCACACTAAGAAAACCCAATCTAAATCCTGAAGAATTGTCAAATCAGAGAGTTTGCGTCTCTCTCACCCGTTTGCTGGGGCGGGGGGGATGACAAACCTCAGATTTGAAGCTCTGGGGAGTAGAACGAGTGAAGCTTTCTGCTAGGCTAAAGGCCTCTGCCCTTTCTGAAGAGCAAAGAAGCACTCCATTAAAATCGGCACAGCTTCTCAGCTAAACAGTCCAGTAACACCCCTGCTAAATCTACCGCTTGAGCTAGTGGATCCTACAGCTGCCCATCAGAGAGTAAGCTCAGGGAATTCAGTGAACTAACCCGTCTGGACTAGACACTGCCTTCTGTGAGAAGCCAGCCTAATCCATTCTGACAACATTCATGCTGTGTGAGGAGCCAGTTCCACCAGTGATCCTTCCTGGCAGAGGATCTAGCAGTGATGCTGGGCTCTGTGAAAAGCCTAGTTCAGCCACTGGTCCAACTAAGATGCTGTGTCCTATAGGAAGTCAGCCCAGCCAAGGAGCAGAATGACTCACTTATTAGTTAAGCCACACCCTAGAGTGAACTTTGGGAGGATTTTCTCAAGAGAGAAAAGATGCTGAGATCCTGTAGTTCTGGAGTTATGCATTGCCTTGGTCACTTGTGTTTCCTATGCATTGCCTGACAATCATTGTGGTTAACTCACTGAAGTTTATATTCTCTACTCCCCTTCCCCATCACAGATTCTCCACAGATTTGTATAAGAATGCACCCCAGGCTTGCCGGAATGGGGGTGGGGAGGGCAGTGCTTTGTAACTACCTAGACCATCTGAGTAAATGTCTTTGCTCTAGAGCTAATAGTAGAATTTTAATGGGAAGTACACCAGTGTGGGATTGGTCTGTGATATAGTTAGTGTTAGGAACAGTCACTCATGACCAGAGGTCATAGTCAACCCTCTAGGGACCCAATCTGTCAATGCTAGTATGACTTGGGGAACTGAAGGGGTACTATAGGAACAAGAATGTAGGGAGAAGAGGAACAAGAAAGAACAAGAAAGCTTGTCTCATAGCTCTCTTTTTTTTTTTTAAATATAAATCATGAGGTGGGATGGTTCCTCTGATAAGAGACTGCTCCTCTTGGTCTCAGTCAATCAATCAACTTGAGTTCCCTATGTTTTGTTAGCAAAGTACCAGTAGACATGCCCACATTTCCTAGGGAGATGGCCCTTAGTTGCTTCCAAAAGCCCGAGCTGCATAAACTAATCAAGTTGATGGAGGAGGCTTCTCATTAGCTCCTGGGGATTCAGTGATCATTTCCATGCTAATGATTCCCAGAGATCCTAATTTCTCTCCTAAACTTCAGTCTCACATTTCTAACTGCCTACTGATTTCTCAAACTGCATGTCCCATTGACATCTTAAATTTAACATATTCCAAACTGAATTCATTACCTCCCCCCACCCAAACCCTTCCTTTTTCCTAATTCCCTTTTTCTTTCAAGGGAAACACCACCCTCTCAGTCATCCAGACTGGGAAGCTAGATTCATCCTTGGTTTCTCACTCTGTTTCATTCTTGTCCCTATGCCTACCCTGTGACTTCCACCTTCACAACATTTCAAGTATATGCCCCTTCTCTCCTCTGACACTGCCATAACCTTGGTACAAGGCCATTATCAGCTCACACTTGGACTATTGCAATAGCCTGAGTCAGTGTCTCTAGCCTCAAGTCTCTCCCTACTTTAGACCATCTTCCAGTCAGCTATCAAAAGTGATCTTGCTTAAGATCATGTTTGATCAACCCCCTCCCCATTCAATAAACCCCAGTGGCTCCCTGTCACCTCCAAGATTACATCTAAAATTCTGTTTGTCTTTTAAACCCTGCATAACCTGGATTCCTCCTACCCTTCAAGGGTTCTTACTTCTTACTCCCCTCCACATACTCTTTGATTCAGTGACACTGGTCTCCTTAATGTCTTAAACAAGACACTCCATCTCTGGACTCCATGTATTTTCTTTTTTAAAAAAAATTAAAAATGCACTTTTTATTGATGTCTTCTATTTCTTACATCATAATTATCCCCAGTATCCCCCTCCTCCTCTCAGAGATCCATCTCATATAATAAGTAGTATTTTTTTTAAAGAAGAAAAAAATCAGTATAACTGATGGATACTTGGAAAAAATCTGAAAACATTCTCACCTCCACAAAGGGGAGAGATTGAGGTTGTCTTTTCAGATCTCTTCATTTGAATTAATCTTGATCTATATAAATTTGTTATATTCACTTTTGATTTTTTTTTTGGTGGGTTATTGTTCTTTCCATTTACATTGTTATAGTCATTGTGTATGTTGTTTTCTTGACTCTGCTTACTTTACTCTTTACTAGTTCATATAAGTCCACACTTGTTTTTTTTTTAATTTTATTTATTTTATTTTTAATTCATGGGAGAAAACAAGTATTTCCATAACATAGTATAATAGAAAAGTATTCATCTCAACATCACTTCTTATAACACACTTTTAATATTCCATTACTTTCATTCCCCAATCAGTGGACATCAACTTTGTTTCCAATTCTTTGGTATAACAAAAAATGTTACTATAAATATTTTGGTGTATATGAGGGCTTTCTTCTTACTGATGGATTTTTTTGGAGTTTAAGCCCAGTGATGGACTCTGTGCCATTTTACTGACTGACCTTCATGCCTGGAAAGCTTTCCCTTCTCATCCCTACCTCCTGTCTTTCTTGACTTCCTTCAAGCCTCAGCTAAAATCCTTCCCCAGGTTCCCCTTCACAAGGAGAATGCAACATCATTGTGATTAAATATACTTTATTCTGCATTATAAATATACGCATTCGTGCACAGGTGTGTTCATGTTTTCTCTCCCATTAAACTACGAAGACCTTGAGAGCAGTTTTTAACCTTTCTTTGTATTCTCAGTGCTTGGAGTAGTTCTTACACATAGCAAGTGATTATAAATGCTTGTTGACTTGGATTGTTGACTTAATTTTTCCAGGGCCGACAGCTAGTTCAACTGCCCCTCCCCCCAAATCTACATTCAAGTCATTTCTTGATATATGTCCCTCCGCATCCACTGTTGTATACGTCTTGCTAGTAAATTGAACTATGACATTCACTGTAAGGTGCCTTCTAGCTTTTAGAGTCTAGGATTCTGCTACCAGAAACTCACTAAAGTAGTGAGGGACCCAGGTGCATCTGCAGAAGAGTGAAGGACCCAGGGTATTCTGAGGAAATTGTGGATCTAGGGCTCTCCCTAGGGGAATAAAGAATGTGATATTTATCCCTTGAAGAACTAAGGATTAAAGAGTGATGCAGGGGAGCAAGGGACCTAGGGATGATCCCAGGGGACTGCATGACCCAGAATCTTCCTCAAGAAGTAGAGGACCCAGGATTGTTCTCAGCTAGGAATGTTCACTTCATAAATAAACCACACCGTAACTCCACTCTCACATTTTGATCCAGGTGAGACTAGGTTATGATGAGCATAAGAGAAGCCTTTGAGACAATCACAGATTCATAGCATTTCACACTGGGAGTTACTTTAGAGATCAGATGAGATTTGAGCTTTTTTTAGAATCATTCAAAGAAACTATTGGCTTGTCTACTATTAGTATTCCTTTTGCGAGGTGCAATAGTAACGTGAAGCCCTGAGGAATGGCTTTGGCTTTCTGTACCCCTCATCTGGACTCCAGTGTCTATCTTCTTTTCAATCCTTTGCTGAAACGTTACCAACATATTTTAGCATGGTTCAAAATGGAGCCAGTTTTAACTGCTTTAAATGTGAAAGTTGGAAATGTAATGTCTGAGCATTTAAACATAATCGGTCCTTAGAGATCAACAAGTCCATACTCTTGACCCCAAACTCTAATTTTAAAGGAGGAAACTGAGGCCTAGAGAGAGGAAGTGACTTTCCTAAGGTCGCATAAGAAGTAAGTACCTAAGGTTTGGATTTGAACCTAGGTCCAGACTCCAAATCCAGTGTTTTTTCCTTTGTTTCATTGATGGTACATAGATAGCCGAAGCACTAACTTTCTACCAGTAAGAATTTTGCTTTTAATGATGTTTTCAACTAATCCATGGATGCAATTTTAGTGTTGCATTACAGAACTCCAGCTTTACTCTCTTAATATAACTTCCTCTCAGATACACAAACATTCAAAATATGGTAAATGTTTTGCCATTATTATATGTGCGAATATGCAAAGGATCTATGATTTTTGTGTGTACAGGTAACTCCTTGACTGGAAACTTCCTCCATCAATAGATTATGACCTGTCCATGACTTAGTAGATTTATTAAGGAGTTGATTGAGACACATAGAAGTTAAGTAATTTGTCAGGGTCACACAGATAGTAAGTCTCAAAGGTGGGATTTGAACTTAAGTCTTCCTGACTTTAAGCCCAGTATTCTATCCATTATACCACACTGCCCCTATATAATTATAATAGCTCAAAGAAAAAAAAAACAAAGCAAAACCTCTCTGTTACACAATTGGGATATGTTTTAAATATATATTTTTTATTACTTTTCCTTTTGTCTTAGAAAGAATATGAAAACTGCATGCAACTCTATTTCAGACATTTAAATAGTATATGATAACTTCATAATGTAATACATGATACTGAAAGAACATGATACACAGTTTGCCTAGAGTATATTTACAAAGGGAAAGGTAGTTTTGTTACTTTATTTTAAAAAAAGAGACAGAACTGTACTATTATCCATGGAAGCGTTACATTCACAATGACAAGAGATTGTGTGTGTATTTCTGGTACAGGGGGTCACATTCTTTGTATGTATATATATTTGTGTGCCTGTGTGCACGTGCATATATATATATACATATATATATGTATATATATGTATATATATACATATATATGTATATATATACATATATATATGTAACAGTTCCTTGAAGGATTTTTACTAAGAAAGCGAGCAAACCTATTGTTCTTGAAGCATAAAATACTTGAGATCAGAGCAGTATACCTTTCATATCACCATACGATGGGAGACGAATCTAGCATCCTCCTTAGATATGAATTTAGTTTGGGATTATTCCCCACTTCTAATATGTGTAAAAATTAACTGGGGGCATTAAGTACATTTCCCTGGCAATCAGCTTTTATTTCAGTAAAGAATATATGTACAAGAGTGATGCTCATTCAGTTCTGCCAGCTGTGTGGACCCATATTACATAGACACACAACAACACATTATTATGGCAGGGTACTTTGTAAGCTGTGTGCCTTCTCCCCTCTGTAGAAAGTCACTATGAAATCAGAAGTGTAAATCTTCCTAGGGCTACAATTAACAGAGCACTACACTATGGAATACCACCACATAGATTATTTGTTCAGCTAATGAGCTTATAAAGCTCAGTTGCAATCATAGTGATGGATGAATGAATACAAAACAGCACTTTTAAAAAATGAAAGACATGGATTTTCACAAATTCAGTAAAAAGCAGACAATTGTGAGCTATGAAATGCAAGAGACAGGACACTTGGAAGCCTTTTGCAAATAGCTATAAAATGTAAAAACTGACCGTTGGTAAAAAGTGCTTTTTGTAACAATATATAATTTGTATCTTATGTCTGTGAGAAAGAAACGTTTTTCTGTAGAGTCCTTTGATCAAGTCTTCCAAAAATTTCTGACTTTTTCATTAGGATATTCTTGTCTTACTCTTCATAGACCCTGGAAAGGAAAAACAGGTATAGGTCTCTCAATGCACTGACTTTGACCATTAGATGGAATATGGCAAAGCCCCACAAGTACTCAAGGGGTGGTTTCTGTTACAGGACAGTGACAGATGCTGCTTCAGGAATGGGTTCTTTCTTTTCTTTCCTAGTGTTCAAATAGCCTAGTCTTCTTTCTGATGCATGAGGTATGGCTTGTAAAAGATTGTTGTTCCAACAAACATGCTAGAACTTTGACCTGAAAGACACCTTTGAAGCCAAAGTGTCTAGCATAGTCTTAGCACAAGTAGACACTTAATAAATGCTTGCTAGCAGATCGATTAATTAATTAGCCTTATAGATTATCTAGTCCAAATTCCCCCTCCTCCCATTTTACAGAACAGGAACCTGAGGTCTAGAGAGGGAAAAGGACTTACCTAAATGAATGTTGTCCTTTTCAGAGTAGTTCCCTTGGGAACCTAGACACATATTTTAATGGTGCTACAGCAAACTGCTCAGGCTCAAGGCTCAAAGAGCCATCATACCTGGTGACACATTTTTTTTTGAATTGCATTAATGGGGTAAATCTTCCTCCTTTGAGAGTAAATTGGATTATTGGAAGGAGACAAGTTGCACGAATAAGATGTGTGAGGAACCTAGGAAACCGTGGTTTGAATCACAGATGAGGTGGGTCTAGTTCCACTACTAAGGCAGTGCAATTGGGGTTGTGCCCCAGGGCATCACAATACAAAGGGAGTAAAATTTTAACACATGCATTGTTTTAGAAACTACTGAATTTATCTAGTTAGCAAGAATAATTCATTCAAATAGGAGCTCCCATAACAGGTAGGCATTTTAGTAATGACCATCTGTGAGCCCACTATATTAACTATCTTCTCCCACTCAACTGAATTTATCTTAATTACTGTTTGATTCTGGAGTCCTGCTTGCTCAGGATCCGAATTGCTAGTTATAGCTGTTAGTGGGCCTACATTGAGGCCCGTATGATATGAAGACAGTAAATAGGCTCTAGAGGCCAGATCCCAGAGGGGAGTTAATATATGCCAAGCAGTGTCAATACCACAGGAAGAAGTGTGTAGTCATCCATGGAGTTGGCTCTGAAGATGACAACACTCATGTGGAGGGCTGAGTTCTGGTCTGTTTGTTAGAGATTTAGTCACGTGATTTTAGAGTCAGACCTCAAGAATAATCTAGGACCAAAGTGAGATGGGACTTCTTCCATAGCCCTAAATAGTTGCTGCAATTGGGGCAAAATGAAATGTAGCAACCCCAGAATTACTAGTGGTGTAGGAGGTTATTACCTATAGGGATGGTGAAGAAAAGTGCTCTCAACCCTGAGAATTCTTTTGAAAGAAAGAAAGAAAGAAACAAAAAAACCAAAAAGCTACAGGTTTTAGAAACTGGTAAAAATTTACAACAAAGTGGGTTTGATGGCAAGAAAATATCTAGAGGTGAAAATAATTTTAGTATTCAAATAATCTCATTTGTCTGGAAAGCTTTATTGATCTGTCTTGGAATATTTTGAAAAATCTTGACTGCCTTTTCCTTTTCCTTCTAATGAAGTGTCCTGCTTAATGGTGAGAGAAAGAGAGAGGCAAAGACAGAGACAGAGAGACTGAGAGAAAGAGAGACAGAAAATAGGACAGAGAGAAGATACACCAAATACTCTGGTAGTATTTTGAAAGTTGTAGGTTTGAGGTGTTTTTCTTCATGGAGGAAGGAACCCCCCCCCAACATTTATTAAGCATCTATTATGTGCCAGGCACTATGCTAAACACTTTCACAATTATTATCTCATTTGATCCTCTCTACCACACTGGGAGGTATGTGTTATATTATCCTCATTTTGCAGTAGAGGAAACTGAGACAAAGAGAGGTCAAGTGAACTTATCGAGGGTCACGCAGCTAGTAAGTATCTGAGTCTGTATTGGAACTCAGGCCTTCCTGACCATACATTCACATCTCTGTTTCCTCAAAACTATGTGTGTATGTGTACAGATACACATCTCTATTTATAACATATGTACATGCATGTATATAATGCACTTATATACAGGTGTGCACATACATGTGTATATGCATTTATGCATTGTGTACATATGACACATATGTACACATGTATTTATATGTATACACACAATTCCTATCCTTATTGACCTGCCCATAGGATCACATGATTGCATTGATTATATACTTAAGGCTGGAAAGGATCATAGTCCAACTCTCCCATTTTACTGCTGAGGAAACTAAGGTCCAAAGAGGTTATAGGAGACTTGCCTGTGGTTACACAGGCAGTGAGTGTCAGGACTGGGATTTGAACCAAGGCCTTCTGACTTTGAGCCCAAGAACCATTCTATGGTGCCACACTGTATAAAGGAAATGACTAATTTCTTATCTTGGTGAGTAGCTATTAAGCAATACTTTCAATGTATTAATTTTTTGAGGATTCTTGGTCATCAGTCAATCAGTAGTCCTGGAATATTTCTGCGTGCCTGCCACAGGCCTTAGGAGCACCATCTTCTCTTCCTTTTACTGCTTTGGTCCCAGTTGACATATCACAAGATTAGAACCAGCACAATGCTGTTCAGAAAGTCCTACACTGAAGGTTGACAGACCTGGGTTCTGCACACTCCAGGTAATTTAACAAATGAATTGAATTGAATTAATGAGATATTTGAGAGCCTGCATGGTCTAGCTGGCCATCAGAATCAGAAAGACCTGAGTTCAAGTAACCCTGCTGATAAATACTGGTTAGGTGATCTTGGGTGAATCACTGTACCTCTCAATTTTCCCAGGTGACTTTCTCACACTATAAGTTGCTGCCATGCATGGAGATTTTCCTCACTAAGAGTTACCATCATCAATGATATCACAAGTCTGGGTTACCCTCCCTTCCCCTAATGAAATCTTTGACCCAGATGGTTAGGGAGGGAGGAACATGGGGGGAAACGTTACTGAAGGCTTCAAAGCAATCAGAAACATTCTCAGCAGTCCCTGCAGGTGACAGATAGGCTGAGCTTTTTCGTTTTGGATGTGAGAATTGAGAGGAGTACAAACCATTTTCAAGACTTTCACTGGCCTAGGTAAGGAAAAGCCCAGAAAAGAAAGCTTTATTCCCATCAGATTTCCAGAAAATAAAGTCTTACTGTCAGTTTTTGCTATTTTGAGCTAATGCAGACTGGGCAGTTTTGAGGGAGAATATGTAGGCCCAGGTATTGACATCGTGCTCAAGGCTCTGTCTTTGGGAATGACCTTCTGTGTATAATGGGAGTACTTGGGGCAGCCAATCCCTTAGAATTTATTCTGAGGAATAAGCCTCGGGCCTCTGGACCTCTGTTGCAGGTGGGGGCATAGTTGAGCATCTAATGCTCCTCTGGGGCAGTTTCATGCAGGTGGCTGAGTATAAAGGGCTCCAATGTGCAAAGGAATATTTGTTCCACATGTGTTTAGTACACCTCCTTCTTCCCTCTTTTCTGCTTCTCAGCTCTGGACTGTCCTCTGCCATAGATGAAGAAGACCCATGTGGGATGACTTGTGGTTAAGTGCTGGAAAGGCACTTAACCCTTCTGTCTCAGTTTCCTCATTTGCAAAATGGGAATACTAATACTTGTTACACGTACTTCACAGGGTTGCTGTGAGTCTCAAATGGAGCAATGTATATTAAGTGCTACACACATGTCAGTTACCTACTTCTGCCATGAACAATAGCATTGTTGTCACTTCTCCTGATTTCCAAAATCTCAACTTTACAGGTCACAGAATAATGGATTGTCAGAATTAGAAGGAATCCACGATGTGCTGAGTACAGTTCAAAGACTTTCCCTGGCATTTAAGGTTCTCTGTAACCTACCATCACCTTATCTTTTCAGCCTTATTTCATATTACTCTCTTCTACACACTCTCTGCTCCAGTCAAACTGGATCTGTCTTCATTTTCCAGCCTCTGTGCATGGTTTGTTATACCCGCGTGTCTGTTGAATCCTACTTCAGACCTGAATTAAGTCACTTAGCTGCTATGAATCTGTTTTCTCATCTATGAAAGGGGGAAAGCATCCGTCACACCTCTCAGTTGCTATGGGGATCAATAACATATTTAAAATACATTGCTGATGCTGAAGTACTCTCTTAATTCGAGCAATTGTTATCTCCTATGAATCATTTAAATACAACTCCAATGCCACCTCTTCTAGTGAAGACCTTTCCCCAGTGAAGATTTTACATAGCACTTTGTCCTGCAACTTTCTAATGAGCTTATGTATGTAATTTTATTTTTTGAGTATTATTCTACTAGCCTGTGACTTCCAGGAAAGCAGACTCCATTTAATTTAAATTTTATATCTTCCCCAGAACATAGCCTAGTTCAAGTGTTTAAAAAAATTCAACGCGATGAATGAATCATCTAGTCCAATTCGTTCATTTTACAGAAGTGGAAAACCGAGGCCAAGATTCACCCAGGATCACTGAGCTCTTTAAATGCAAAACTACTCTTTCCCCTACACAGGACTCCTACTTGAAACTCACCTGCGTTTCTCATTCCACGCGTTGTACCACTTGATGAATCTCTTTGTGCTCTGGAGTTTGGGATGTAGGCAGTGTTCTTGTCCTCGGTACCGTGACATGCTCTTCGTAGTGATGCTGTAATAGAGTTTGGAAAAGCAGCCTGGGTGAGAAGTTACTCCTTTCCACGCCCACCCACCTCCGCACCTGCCCGAGGCGGGTGAGGTCAGCCCTCTGGGGAATTTGCTGCATAATGAGAGTTCGTTCATTAGAATGTGTGAGCCCTCTACCAGCTATTGTCCTGCCTTTAGTGGAGTAGGAGAGGAAATAGGCAAAGCTTTGCAGTGGGCAGGAGGAGGCTCTCCCTTCTAGCACAGTAAAGGGGCATTGTGGGAACAGCAAATACATGTGGAGGGGAAAGTTCGGCTCTGCATCTCCAAGACTTTAAAAAGTTTCAGTGAAGTCCGAAATTGTTCTGTGAACCATTTTGACTGTAGAATTTTTATTTCACCTTGCAGAAAGTATATAGTAGATGAACTTTTTAATGTGGAATAGTCTATTTGCTGGGTGAACTGGCTTTCTGACGAGCTTTGTGGCAGCAAGGGTTTAGCTCTAACTTGTAAACTTTGCAAGTCTCAATAGAATCAGCCTGTAATGTAAGCAAGCCCTTTCTCCCCCATCTCCTTTATGCTCTCCTCTCCAGAAGCCTTTTGCCTGTGGCAGGTCCATAAATGTGAATATGCTACTTTGCAGGAAAGTCTTCAGCCAAAATAGTGGAAGGGACCTAATAGACCATCTAGTCCAAGATGACATTAGGTAATACTCCTTGTGGTCTTCTCCCTCATGCTTCCTATCTAAACCCATTCAGAACTCATACCCTCACTCTTTTTCTCTCAACATCAACAATGCCTTACTTAGTATCCAACTGAAAGGCTTGGGGAAAGCCATAAAAGCTAAATAATGCTGAGGCTGGGTGGGAATTTTTGCAGGACTCCAGATTATTCATCTCTAACCGGACGAGGTTTGACTAGTCACCCAGTAAAGCTATAACATTCCATGGCTTTAGGTCCTAAGGGGAATCTCTGTCCTTGGCAGTGACAAGCAGCAAAGAGCTGGTCATACACGGGTGGGATGAACTTCAAGGAAATCTGGTAGTGTTTATGAAAATTCAGACTGGTAGAAGAGAAAGGATTGAGAAATTATGCATATTAAAAATGACTTTTTGCTCCTTCAGGAGAGTCCTACTGGGAACCCTAGGGTTCATTAAGCAAGGAGCACCCTGAAACATTTAAGACAGGGCTCAATTTATAGCAATCAATTTACCCACATTTTTTCAGTGCTGACTCTTCTGCTGAAATGGAGAAATGTCTGCATTAGGAGGTATCAAGGCAGCAGAAATCATAACGGTAATCATTAGCTTCATAAAATGAGTCTTATGGGCTATCTTGCCTAAGATTCTGCTTCAGCTGGAGGCCTTGAAGGAAGTTCCTTCAAATGTTGGATTTGTGACCAGGGACACCAATGTCTAGAGTTGTGGTGATAACTGCTTTATACTTTCGTATTTGAAGCTCAGATCTTCCAAACTGTATTCTCTGAGAAGTTCTTGGAGTTTATATTTGGCTTAGGGTCAACAGTGATATTCTTCAGTGTTTGAGGATAAGCAGAGGTGACATATTTGATTACGTTTCAAATTCTCCACCTGCTAACAGAGGAGGAGGAGCAGTTGCTTCGAAGTGATCATTGCTTGCTCCTGGGAAGAGGCATTCAGTTAGTTCCATCTGACTTCTGAGGAGCCAAGAAGGTTAATAGGATTATAGATTTAGAGCTGACAGGGATCTTAGAGGCCATTAAGTCTAACTTCCTCCTTTCAGAGCTGAGGAAACTGAGGCTAAAAGTGACTCAGTGACTTGTCCAAGGTCAGAAAGACAGTAAGTATCTGAGGCAGGATTTTACTCAAGTTATCCAGACTCCAAGTCTAGCCCTCTATCCATTGTGCTGCATAAGCTAACACAGGCTTAGGGGGTCCATACTACAGACTTGGATGAAAGTCTGTAATTCTAGAAAACTGGAGGTTCGGACTGGCACTGCAACTTGTATACCTACTAGCTAAGTTGCATCACTTTACTTCAGTTTCTGCAACAGTAAAATAGGGATATAATTAGCAACTGTAATATCTACTTCACTAGGTTTTCACTTACTAGGATAAAATTATACACTCATGTTTATACATATATAGGAATACACATATACATACACACATATAAATACATATGTTTTTATAGACATATAAGTACATATGCATGTATATGTATAGCCATAGCTGTGTAGGTATATACATAGGTGCCTATATGTGTATACATATATATTTGTGTGTATATATATGTATATGTTTAATATAAGAGGTAGCAAGAGTACAGTGGATAGAAAGCTGGCCTGGGAGCCAGGAAGATTTGTGTCCAAGTACCACCTCAGAAAGATACTGTTTGTGTGACCCTGGGAAAGTTACTTAAATTCTCAGTGCCCTAAACATCTCTCTAAGACAATGGGTTGCTAAGAAGGCCTATGTTAGTAGAAAGAGTTTGCTCATATCAGTGAAATTACAGGTCTAGGCACTATCCTGATTTTATATATACACATATATATGTAAATGTATATACAGGCATGCAGGCATGCATGTTTGCATGCGTATGTATATGCTTTGTAGACTGCAAAGCACGATAAAAATGTCAGCTGTGATTATTTTTAATATTTGAATAGATTATAAACATGAGGCATTGCTTTTTCTATATTCACAGCATCACCCTGTGTTAAAGTTATATCTTGCCACCTAAGACTAGGTGTTCTAGAAGTCAGTGCTAAGCTCATACGGTAAATAAGTGTGTTTCCCAGAATGTTTTGCATGGAATGAAATTTGTTTTGGTGGATTCTGGGAGTGTGCTCCAGCAGGGAAACTCTATTCCAGTGCGTGAGCTCCTCAAGGACAGGGATTGTTTTGTTTTGTTTTGGTCCTTGCACTCCCAGTATCTAGTACAGTATTTGGTATTTAGTACGAATCTGATGTATGGTTGTTTAATTTGATTAAAATGGAAAAGCTTTCAGCAGTTAGAAAACTGTCCCTTGTTCTGATTGGAATTCACGCATTGTTCTTTGGGTTGGCTATGTGCAATGTGCAGGATGCGCAGCAGAGCTCAAAGATTATCGGCCTTACACCTGGGTTAGGGGGAGGAAATGAAGAACAGACAGCGATCATAGGCTTATGTGATGATAACAGAGCTAGACAAGACCTTAGCTATCATCCACTCCAACTCCCTAATTTTACAGATGAGAAGACCGAGGTCTAGAGAAGCAGAGTGACTTTCTCTAAGTCACCAAGTTCGCATACAGCAGAGCTAGGATTTGAACCCATGTTCTTTGACTCAAATGTGGTGCTCCTTTTATTATACCACAGAGATAATTTTTTTGTCTATACTTGCAGAGCCTCAGCCCCAAGTTGGTGCCTAAACTAATTCCCACTGACCTGGGAACTCATCTGAATGAATTAGGATCCTGAAACACACAATCAGGTGTGGTAGGGAAATAAGAATTAGACACACTGCCATAGGCTTTCTGCCTTCACGTCAATCAATTAAATATTTATCGAACATCTGCTGAGTGCTCCACACTGTGCTCAGAGCTTAGGGTACAGAGAGAAATACGATAGAAGGTATCTGCCATTAGCAAGCTCACGGCTTGGGGCAACGAGACTATCTCACATGAAGCAGCAATAGACTACCCAAGGCAGAACACGGCAAATGGAGCAAGTGCTGCAGGAGCAAGCTGAGAGAAAGAGGGCCATGCGGGTTGTGGAGATCAGGAAAATGTTGGCTGGATTTGGAATCAAGAGACCTGAACTTGAATCCTAGCTCTTACGCTTAGTCACTTTATGATCCTAGGCAAGCCTCATCCCCTTCCGTTCTGGGAAGTAAAAGGATTGCTAAGGTTTAAAGTGGCAGCTAGGTGGAGCAGTGGATAGAGTGGCAGGCTTAGGGTCAGGAAGACCTGAGTTCAAATCCAGCATTGGACGCTTATTAGCTGTGTGACCCTTCACAAGTCACTTAACCCTGTTTGCCTCAGTTTCCTCATCTGTAAAATGAACTGGAGAAGGAACTGGCAAACTGCTCCAGTGTATTTGTCCAGAAAATCTCAAATGGAGCCGCAAAGAGTAGGACGCAACTGAAGTAACTAAACAACAACAACAATAACAAAGGTGCAGTTCTAAATTCAACGATCTTAAAAGTTTGTACAGGTGGGGAGAATATTCCAGGCAAGTGGAAACAACATGAACAAAGAGAGTAAGTAAGCACAAGGTTTTTTTTTTTTTAAAGGCAATTGGGGTTAAGTCATTTGTTCAGAGTTATACAGCTAGTAAGTGTTATGTACCTGAGGTCGGATTTGAACTCAGGTCCTCCTGACTCTAGGGCCGGTGCTCTATCCACTGTGCCACCTAGCTGCCCCACAAGTTTTGTTTAGGGGACAGTGATCAGCCTATGCTGGTTGGGGTAAAGGGTCTGTGAAAAGGAATGTCAGGAGACAAAGTTGGGCCAGCAGGTAGAGGACCAATTATAGTAGTGGGACTAAAGGGACAGACCCCAACAATTTCCTAGACACAAATACTATGAATAAATAGTGAGTCCTGTCATGAAACAAAAACTATTCTGCATAGTTTCATCCATTCCGTTGAGAGTGTCGGTGCTCATGAGCAAATTGCTTTCTTCCTTGTTAGCACTTTTATATTCTCTAGCTGTCTCTTTTGTATTTATCTTGTGTCCCCACCCAAAGTTCACATCCCGGGTCAGGGACCTGGACTTTCGCTCTTACTCCTTTTTGGTACTATGCATTTTGGTAGCTGATGACATCAGATGCAGAGAACGTTATGAGAAGACTCAGAAAAGGAGCTACTGTTTCTTTCATCTGAAGTCAGCCTTACCTCTCTTGTAATTTCTTGTGGACAGGGACCATGAGTACAGGACTTTAGGCTAGAGGACCTGGCTTTAAGTGAGGAATAGAGCTGGACAGGATTTAGAGCAGGACAGGACCTTAGGCATCACCTAGTTTATATCCTTCATTTTTCTCATGAGGAAAACGAGTCTTGGAGACTGCTTTGCCCAAGGTCACTCAGCTAGTAAGTAGCAGAGCTGGATTAAGTCAAATTTCTGTGACTCCACATCCAGAAATCTTTGCACTCCAGCATGCTGTCCTAGCTCTGCCAGCTGTGTGACTCTGGGGCAATTTTCTTTGACTCTCTAAGAGTCATCTGTAAAATGAGGGGGTTGGATACAATGATCTCTAGACTCTGGTATTCTGCAATCCTGTAATTTCTTATGCTATTCAAGCGCCTAGTACGGTATCAGGTACCCAGAAATAAATACCTGTTGCATTTCTTTCTTGGCCCATAATCCTAGGAATGGAAGGATTTCTATACCCTTGCTGCCTGTTTCCAAGTTTTAGTTGGAGAAGCAGCATAGAAAGTTGGAATCTGGACTTGTGTTAGAAGATCCAGATTTGAATACTGGCTCAGTTACACTTAACTTCTCTGAGACTCAGTTTCCTCATCTGCAACTATAACAAAATTTGCACTGTTCTCATCAGAAAACTTGTTTCGAGGAAGCTTTCAACTTCAAGAAGCTGTTGGTGCCTTTGATTATGACCTCTATGACTTTGGGACTGGCCTGTAAGAGAGGCTGTTGCCAAACAATCCATTATCCAATCCATTTATCCATTAAAGGTGGTCCCATGACAAGTCTTCCTAGACATAGTCTGGTGCTTGGAGGACAGACGCACAGCCAACTATTACTGGCCTATCCTTGAAACCAGCATGGCAGGGCATGCTGGAGCTGGAGCTGCATTGGTATAACCTCGGAGGACCCAGGGTTACCTCCAGGATCAAAGGAAGACTTTCATCCTGAGCATTAGAGCCCTTCACAGCCCTGAGATTTGAAATCATGCAGGTTTGGAAGAACTCAATTCTCCTTAAAAGAAATGTTTTTGTAAACTGTACTTATTCCCTTTCAGATTTGGGGCACTAGCCCCAAGAGTGACCTGGAAAGGTATAACTAGACTTGCACTCGGTTCTTGTAGCCTTTCCTGGAGAGTTCTATTTTAAGAGGCCACAACTTATTATCAACCATGCTACAATGCCCTTGACTCTCCTCTGATGTGAAGTGCACATACTTCATCTCCCTCCCTGAATCTCTTCGAGGTGCAATGAGGCATGTGAAAGTCAGCTTGCTGCCACCCAAACCTAATTAACTGGAATGGTAAGGGAATGTGTGAGAGTGCAAACTGGTCACTTAAATTTTTTGATTCACTCAGGCTTAGCCAGGAAACTTCTTTGCATCGAAAATATCTCTAGACCTATATCTGATTGCATACCATTTTGGGGAGGGAAGCAGGGAGGGAGGGAAAGAAAATTTTAAACTCAAAAGCTTATGGAGGTAAATGTTGAAAACTAAAAATAAATTAATGAATAAAAATAATAATAAATAAGAAAATATCTCTAGAATTTATTTGATCTCTTTTTTGCCTATATAAGTTCTATTGAACATGATTCTTTGTTTAGGAGTTGCAGCTTTTTGTTTTTTATTGGGCTGCTGGGCTATTATTTAGATCAGCAATGATTTCTGTCAAGGCTATCACTAGACATTTGATTTTTTTTTAATGTTAATTCCTTAACATGATCTTATGTCACAATTATCAGTTAAAAGAAGAGTACAGGAAAATACAACAAAATGACCTGGGACCATCTCATCTCCCTCTAGAATCCAGCTCATTCACTCATTTCTCCATTCATTCATCACACATTTATTTAGGGACTACTCTGAGCAAGACATTGTTCATTGAGGGTTCTTTAATACTGAGATTCTATTACATCTAATGCCCCAACTTTTAGCTTCTGAAGTATGAGTGAAAACAGGAATTATGGTCTTTGGAAAGTGATGACTCAGAGAATCAAGTAAACTAATATTTCCATTGTATAGGTAGTAGCACTTACAAGACTCCACCTTAGGTCGAATCCTTGGTTTTTAATTTTATGCTACCAGATTTGAAGAAAGGAAGGTCTTATGTCCATTCCTCTTTCTCTCCAAGCTATTGAGTTCTTCAGTCTCAAGACAAAGCCCAGTTAGAAGCTTTTCTGGGCATCTTCTTTGGGCTGGTATAGGAGTAAAGAGAAGAGGGGTGGGGTTGGGGAGAAACAGCCTAAGCAGGGCGATTTTTGAATTTTCCCCAAACTCACTAACACATTTCAAGTCCCAGGTTGTGAATGTTGGCTGTAATGATCTCAGAAACCCTTTGGGGCCCATTAGGGACCTGGCTGAGCTGGACAGTGCCTATCCAGACTGGGAATAAAATAAGACCTGTTTCTGGGTTGAAAGAAGGGGTGACTGATCAGCAGCAAATATTTGAGTTCTACTTTGCCAAGGACTCCCTTCTTGGCCAAGAGTTGACTAATGGGGAAATAGTTGTTTTGGCCCCAAGTGGTTAATTTGAAAGAGAAGAGCAAGGAAACTTTGTGTTCTTTCAGTCTGCCCCAGTTTTTAAAATATTTTCAGCATTCTCAACATGCACGGAGACAACTCTATCGAATGTTATCCTGAGCAAGGGATTTTGCCACGGGAGTTACAGATGCATTCCTTAGAGAAGCACATATTTTGCAGCTGATTAGTAGAAACCATTCTAAAAGTAAATTTGAATCAGTTGTAGAAGATATTTTTGGATATTAAAGAAGTCTCTGTGAAGCATGGGAAGACTTATAGGATTAAATGCAAAGTGAAGTAAGCAGAATCAGGAAAATGATATACACAATGGTTATAACAATGGAAATGGGTGGTGGTGGTGGTGGTGGAAATAAGAATAAAAAGTATCCCTTGAAACTAAATGCTACACAATTCTAAAAATCAAACTTGGTCCCAAAGAAGAAAGCTTTTTTTGGGGTGGGGTGGTGGGGTAGGGGAAGAAAATATATTTCTTTTCTTCTCTCTACATTTTTTTCTTGTAGATTTGGGGCACTAAGGCTGGAGAACATCGAATAAACTGTCAGATTCTATTGATGGGCTTTTTGCTAAATTTTGAGCTCTTTCTTTCCTTTCCTCCCTTTTTTTCCTTCTCTCTCTCTCTCTCTCTCTCTCCCTCTCTCTCTCTCTCTCTCTGTGTCTCTCTCATTCTTTGTTAAAAAAATCACGCTCTGGGGAGAGGCGGGAGAATGATATATTTGGCAATAAAGGTGATATAAAGACAAGAACATCAATATTTTTAAAATGTCTGCATAAAGGAAACAAAAGTCTAAGAATGAATTGTCATATTTTCTTTTAATTCTCATTCCAATTGATTCAAACACAGAACCTACTTTTGGCTTCGAGAAAAATAAACTTGTTAGTCTTTTTATTGGGAACTTGTGTGTGTGTGTGTATGTGTGTGTGTGGTTCTCTACTTAAGAATCAAATATTTTAACTTGTTATCTTTCAAGGGCCCCATCCCATCTTCAGAAATATTGTCATAATTGTAGGTCCCTTAGAAAATGCAGTTTCTTTTAGCCTGGTGTTGTAGCTTGTTTGAAATGCTGGTGCTTAACACACTCGCCTACAGTTTGTGCTTGGACAAGAATGAAAAGGCATGGAAACATGCTCTTAACAGCGATTCCAGACACACATAGAGCTTGGGCATTGGGTTAGACAGAAATGAGGACAAGATAAAGTTGCAAAGGTGAGACTCACATAACCATCTTCTCTTCACAGTGCGGGTACTTTGGTTTCATTTCCAGCTTCTTGACATCACTGTATCTTATCTTTGGTCCTTTTCTTGAGCATTTGCATTTTGACCCTGAAGGAGATTGTCTGATAAGTGCGGAGTTCCTTACCTGCAGGGGCTTATATAGAGCAAGCAGCTCCATCACATCACGAAGTTCATGTTTGCAAGGAAAAGGATGAACATAGATTAGCCCACCTCGCTCCTCCTCCCCCTTTTTTCTTTCCCTTTCTTCCCCAGACTCACAGTCCAGAGATTGTCTCTGGAGCTCGGGAGAAATTAAGGTACAAAACTTGGTCAAAGTCACCCTTGGGAAGCCAACATTTAAATAACCTGAAATTCATATTTTCATTAAGCTTCCATATTTATTTAAACCCAAGAATGAAGGCAGAGTAAGCGGGGGAGTCCATTAGGGCGCACCGAATGTCCGTCCTCCCCATCCCCCTCCCTCCCCCAAACCCGGTTTCTTCCAGTAGATACAAACTCTCTCTCTCTCCAAAGCTCAGAGAGGGCCAGCCAGGACGTACGTGTGTGTGTGGTGTGGTGGTGGTGGGTGGTGGTGGTGTGTGTGTGTGTGTGTGTGTGTGTGTGTGTGTGTGTGTGTGTGTGTGTGTAGCCCAAACTGGGGGTCTTTTGGCTCGCTCGCCGGACTTACCCTCCACCCCGACGCAGCACAACACAAGGAGCAGCAGAAGCAACAGTCCTGTCAAGAGCTTCATGACCAGAGCTCAGGTGTCTCTAGGGAGCTGGGAAAATCTCGTTACCCGCTTGGCTTCTTGGTAGCCGCTTTTTCCGGAGCGCTCGGGCAGTCAGGTTTGGGGAGAGTTGCAGGTCTCTTGTGCTCCTGCGCCCTGGTCAGTTTCAGTTCCTGCGTATCTGCTCCGTGCGCTCTCGCTTGCTCTCAGTTCTCCAGAGCTCGGATCTCCTCCTCTTTTAAAACAGCTCCCGCTGCCCTCACAGCGAACTCATTAATATGCAGAACAACTCTGACTCACTGCAATTTCTCAACATAGTTGGGAGGGGGGGAAGAGGAGGGAGGAGACCTTCCCAGTCCCGTCTGATCACACAGACTGTTTGGGTCCAGAACACCAACTGCACCCGAATCGTATCATTTCTCAATCACCTTCTTCCTTTTCTTCCTTTTTTTTTTTTTGAGGGGGGAACCCTGGGGGGGGGAGGGGAGATCACAGCCTGGGGATGGAGGCTTAACTTCGTCGTTCTTTGGACATGTGTCAAAGTGACTGCTGAGGTGGGGCTTCTTACACTGTAGGTGCTGGAGGCTGTTTATACCTAACTACTTCTTTACAAGGCTCCGAAGTGGTTCTGTCAGTGAGGGTTCCAGGGGTCAGTGGACTGAACTGGGTTGCTTCCCACAATGGGAAGCTTGCAGGGTGGACAAATGCAGCTGTGGTGTGAGCGATCCAAGCCTGGCCTGGGGAAGAGGTGAGGCTTCACCTGTTGGGAAATGACTGGGACTTTAAAAATACTTAATTCCAGTTGACCCAGGCTATGAGTCAAGTGCTTAGTCAATCTAGGGGTGAATGAGGGAACGATCCCTCAAAATAGAGATTTGGCTACAGGCTGTAAAGAGTGGAAAGCTATCGTGGTACAGCGGGAAGGAACAGTGATTGGACCTGGTCTCAGGAGCTGTCTTTAAATGCTCTCTCTGCCTCTTTCTACCTGTGTGAAGTTACTTCATTTCTCTGTGTCTTAGTACCTCATCCATGAAAGGGGAAGTTTGGACTAAGTGACCCTTAAGGTCTCTTCCAGCCCTGAACAAACTTGTGCTTGGCTTTTTTTTTTAATTGAAGACTGACTTTTTGGCCAATTTACTTTTCTGGAGAGAAAACTCCTTTAATTATCAACGGGTTTTTGATTTGTTTTCTTAGATTTGATAGTTCAGTTGCATGTTCCATTGTGAATCTGAGGGTTCTGAGAACACCTCCTTCCCCTTTTTCCTCTGTCCTGGAGGAGTGGTGATCTTGGAACTACTTTGTTGGAAGGAGGGACTCAGGAGCTGAATGCAATTTAGTCCTGTGGAGAGAGAGAGTGAGAGAGGAGAATTCGAGCCCCTGAAAGCTCAGAGACAGACAGGTGGAAGTCTGGAACAGATGTTATTGTAGCTCCCTCTAAACCTGAGGCACTATGCTCATCTCTCCCCAGGGGGTCTAAGCCAGAGCATAATATAGAAGTACTAAGACTAGGTAGTAGCTTAGGCAGAGGGTATTCAAGACTGCGTACTGGCAAGATTCTTGGGGAAAAGGATCGTTGAGTTTGCTGCATGGCATTGTAGGATCATAGATTTAAATTTGAAAAGGGGACCTTGGAGGTCATCTAGTCCAATTCCATCATTTTACAGTTTAGCTGACAGAATTAACCAACTTGTACAGATAACGTAACTGAAATCAGAAGGGACATATAGAACATTAACTCTGAAAAGCACCTTTGAGCTTATTTAGGCCAATATCCCCATTTTACAGAGGAGGAAACTGACTCACAAAGAGGGGAAAGAATTTGCCAAAAGTTGCACAGCAAATCAGCTTCAGGGCCAGGATTAGAAGCAAGGCTTCAACTCCCAGCCAGGTGTGCTGCTATTCCCTGCACCCCTGCTGGGGAGAGGCATCTCAAAAAGGAGGGGTGAACTGAAGTATGGGTTTGGTTATTATGATGAGCCTGAGATGGTTCACATTTTTTATCAATGACTTGGATAAAGTCAGTTTTATGGACTGTTCTATGAAGCTGTTGGTGATAACCACTATATTAGATGTCAGTGTCTGGATCCTATAAAATTTAAAAAAGCTAGAATGGTAGACTAAATCTAATAAAATACAATTATCAATATTAAATGAAAGGTTCTATATCTGGGAGCAAAATAAAAATGAACAAGATAAAAATGTCTTTTTTTTTTTTTAAAAGATGAGGTGAGGGGGCAGCTAAGTGGTGCAGTGGATGGAACTCTGGCCTTGGAGTCAGGAGCACCTGAGTTCAAATCTGGTCTCAGACACTTGACACTTACGAGCTGTGTGACGCTGAGCAAGTCACTTAACCCCTATTGCCTCATCAAAAAGCAAAAAAAAAAAAAAGACAAGGTGAGTGGGCATGACTACTAAGACTCAAGATCTCAGTGCAAACTTGTTGAGCCATTATTACAATATAATTAGGAGATAGTAAGGTATAGTAGGAAGGAAACAAACATTTATTAAGTGCCTATTATGTGCCAGGTACTATGCTAAGCACTTTACAAATATTCCTTTGTGGTAGGTGCTATCATTATCCCTATTTTACAGTTGAGGAAACTGAGTAAGACAGCTTAAATGACACAGCTCAGTGTCTGAGGTGGATTTTAAACTCAGGTCTTTCTGACTCCAGGTATAGGGCTCTACACACTTCACTACCTGGCTGCCTCTAAAAAGAATAGAAAGAATTCCAAACATTCTTCCTGAACTTGATCTGATGGGATGTAAGCTTTAATCCCACCTATGCTACTTATTAGCAGTGGGGCCTTAGGCAAGTCAGTTACCCTCTCTGGACCTCAGTTTCCTCATTTGTAAAGTGACAGGGTTGGACTCAATGACCACCGAGCTTCCTTCTAGCTCTGGCTCTAGCATCCTCTAGTAGTTCTTTCTTTCAATAACCCTGTGAAGTTGGTGGTGCAGATATTTTTATCTTCCTTTTACAGAAGAGGAAATAGAAGTTCTGAGAAGTTAAATGACTTGCCCCTACTCACACAGCTACAAAGCACTGAAGGCTTCAAATCCAGCTTCCCTGACTTTGTGCCTACTGCTCTACCTACTGTGCAGCACAGCCTCTATCTAGGAATCAGAATCATTAATGCAATCTAAGTTGCATTAAGTGGGGCATAGGTGTTCAGCAGACTGGAGGAAGTAATTCTGCTAGTATTAGGAGGGATCAGGAAGGCTTCTTGTAAAAGGTGGGATTTTAGCTGGGACTTGAAGGAAGTCGGGTAAGCCTGGAGATGGAGATAAGAGAGGGAGAGCATTTTATGCGTGTATTTATTTTATGTATGGCAGTAAACATGCCCAGATATGGAACATCTTCTTAGAGGAAAAATAAGGAAGATAGTGTCATTTTATATAATCACAATAATTCATTTTATTTTATGTGATCCTCTGAATTGCTTGTTTAGTCATGAACTCTTCCCATATCTACGTATCTGAAAGGTAATTCCTTCCTTGCTCCTATAATTTGTTTACCATGTGACCTTTTTTATCTAGGTCATATATCATTTGATCATGGTATCTGGAGTATTGGTTTATACCTGATTTTTTCCAGACTGCTTGCTTCTCAGTTTTTCTAGTTGTTTTTATCATATAGTGAGTTTTCCTTTGCATTAACTAATTTCAATCTCTCTCTGTCTCTCTCTCTGTCTCATCTTCCTTACTTTCTCCCATCACCCCCCCTTCCAACAATGCCACATTGTTTTAATGATTACATTTTGAGTACATTTTAGTACAGTTTGAGATCTAGCACTGATAGACCCCCTTCCTTCCCACCTTTTTGCAGTATTACTCTTGAGATTTTCAACCTTTTGTTCTTCCATGTGAATTTCGTTATTATTTTTTCTAGATCTATAAAATATTCCATTGGTAATGTTACAGCACTGAATAAGTAAATTTATTTATGTGGTATTGTCATTTTATTTTTATTATGTTGGCTGTATCTACCCATGGGCAATGAATATTTCTTCAATTATTTGGGTCTTTTTATTTCTGCAGAGTGTTTTCTATTTGGATTTATATATTTCCTGAGTGTGTCACAGTAAATGGAGTCTTGAATATTTTGTATATTTTGTTGTTATTTTGAATGGGTTTTTTCTATCCTTTCCTGTTGTGTTTTGTTGGTAATATAAAACAATGCTGATTATTTATTTTATATCTTGGAACTTTGATGACTTTATCGTTTCAATTATTTTTTGGTTGACTCTCTAGGGTTTTCTAAGTATGTCATAGCATCAGCCAAAAGTAATACTATTGTTTATCTGTGCATCAGTTTCTTTTTCTTGTCTTATTGACTCAGCTAACGTTTCTAACACTATATCAAATAGTAATGTTGACAATGGGAAGGGAAGAGGGTAAGCATATCTGTCTATCTATCTATCTATCTATCTATCTATCTATCTATCTATCTATCTATCTATCTATCTATCTATTTATCTATCTGTCTGTCTCATCTACTATGTGCCAGGCATTGTACTAAGTGCTTCTTAAAAATATCTCATTTGATTCACACAACAACCCTATGGGAGGTAGGTGCTATTATTATCCTCATTTTGCAGTTGAGAAAGATGAAGCAAAGAGAGGTTAAAGTGACTTAACTAAGGCCATACAGTGAGTGTCTGAGATTGACTTTAAGTTGGGTCTTTCTGATTTCAGGATCCATTGTATCACCTGCCTCTAAGGCAGGACAATGGGCAAGTGCTTTATTTCTGATTTTATTAAAAGGACTCTATTTTATTCCCACTATGTATAAGTTTGGCTGTTGGTTTTAGTTACATACTAATTTATCACATTTATTCCTATGTTTTTAATGATTTTTTAAACAGAAATGAGTGTTGTATTTCATCAAAAGCTTTTTCTGCATCTATTGATGTAATAATAGGGACTTTTTTTTAATTAATATGGCTGCTGCATTCCTGGTATAAAACCAATGGGCTCATAGTGATATATCTTCATGATATATTGCTGTAACCTTTTTGCTAATATTGCATTTAATTTTTTACGTCACTATTTATTAGAGATATTGGTGTTTAATTTTCTCTCTCTGTTTTGACTTTCCTATATTTAGATATCAAGACTATATTTGTGTCATAGAAGGAATTTGGTAAGTTTCTTCCATTTTCTATTTTTTTGACTTTTTTGTAATATCTGAATTAATTTTTCTTTGAATTTTGATAGAATTGGCTTGTGATTCCATCTGGATTTGGATAGTGTTTTTCTTTTGC